ATCCTCCTCTTCCTTGCAGGCTGGAAGTTCAGGCAGATGTCCAGAAGGAGATTTTCCCCAAAGACTCGGTCAGCCTGGGGGCCGTCAGCGACAACGCCAGCACTCGAGCCATGGCTGGCTCCATCATCAGCTCCTACAACCCCCAGGACAGGTAGGAGCGGCAGTGGTGTTGGAACTGGGGATCCTGGGAAGTGGGTGCTCTGCGTGGCGGTCGCACCAGCCCCCTCTGGTGTAGGTGGCAAGGGGACTGGTCCTTCTCTTGCACAGAAGGACAGCTGGGAGCAGTGTGGGAGCAGTTTCCATGTGTAATGTGGATCTGCAGCCCAGGACTCCCAAGGTCTGTTCCCGGCTGCGTGCAGAGACTCTGGTCCTTTCCCAACTCCTGGCTCAGCCAGGGATGGTCTTGGCTGCCCTCGAGGGGAGCAGGGAGTGCTGCTTCCCAGCTGCCGTGGGGTGATGAGCAGCATCTTGCTCACGTTTGGGAAGCGTGACCCTCCTGGGCCGGGGATGTGGTGACCCAGTCAGACCCAGTCGAACCCAGTAACGCAGGGTGCTTGTTTCTGCAGGGAGTGCAACAACATGGAGATCCAGGTGGACATCGAAGCCAAGCCAAGTCACTACCAGCTGGCCAGCGGCAGCAGCACCGAGGACTCCCTGCACGTCCACACCCAAATGGCAGAGAACGAGGAGGAGGAGGAGGTGGAAGAGGAGGAGGAGGGTGAGCAGGAGCCCTCGTGCAGACACCAAAGCTGTGAGCAGAAGGACTGCGTTGCCAGCAAAACCTGGGACATCACCCTGGCCCAGCCTGAGAGCATACGGAGCGACCTGGAGAGCTCCGACAGCCAGTCGGACGACGTGCCAGACATTACCTCGGACGAGTGCGACTCCCCCCGCTCTCAGACTGCGGCAGCCTGCCCACAGACCCCCAGAGCTAGAGGTGCCGAGAGCCCAAGTGCCCCCCTGAGCCGCTGTGCCCGAGCCGAGGGCCGCAGGCTGGATGAGATGGTCAAGCTGGAGTGCATCGAAGCCCGGGTGTGAAGGGCCTCCCGCCCAAAAGTGCTCGCTGGATCCATCCTGGCGGCTTCTGGTGGCGATTCCCGGCCTCACCCCAGGCAGCGGCTCTTTCCGACGGGACAAAAAGGAAAAAAAAACCAAACCCGCCCTCTCTTTGGTTTAATTTATTGGCTCGAGCTCTGTGAGGTGTGTAAGAGTGTACATACGTGCGTGTGTCTGTCTGTCCACAAACGGCCCGAGGGACTGTCGGAATAAAGACTCCGGTCGTCAGTC